GGCATTAATAATTGTCAGTATTAGGAAACAACACAAACATGTGTTGTTTGTGTATACATGTGTAGACAGAGAGGAGCTTAACCCATATTAATTTCTTCTTGTTATTGTACCGCACTTATTCAGGAGTCTATCAAAACCATGACAGTGTAAATTATGTGCAGGTGAACTTTGGAAAATTGAGGGGAAAGCGTGTAAGATATCTGCTCCTTTAATTTGCACAATACCTATGGTACATGTATCTGGTTTTCCCCAAATCATTGCAGTGTACCATATGTTTTCAATTTACAGTCAAAAATCTGACCTGAGGCTAAGGCAGGAAGTCTGTGGTAGTTTGCTGAATTGTTTCATCTCTGAAGCATCTTTTGACTTTCAGACATGAGTGAATCTAACCTCAGCACCATGACATTTTTGAAAATGTGTGAGAGTCAATTTACTTGTGATGGATGCTGTAGGCAACATAGTTCTGGCTAATCCGAACACCAGCAAAAAAAAAGCTAAAGGGGGAAAAGGATAGCAATCTCTTTGTAAAAGAAACTGGGAAGAAAATGTATTATATGGCACGCTATAATAGCAGTGTTGGTAAGGAACTCCCCAAGTAATTTTATAGCCAAAAGGGTTGAATCTAGACATAGCTACACTTAGAACAGCTGCAGTGAAATAAATGGGAAATTAGTAATTTCAATGGATCTCCTCTAACTATGACCAAGTCTGGATTCAAATCCATTTCAGCTGGTTTTAGGAGATGAAGTAGCAAGGATATTGGCATATCTAATAGCAATTCATTGTAACTGGAATTATGATTAAGGGCATACTTGAACTGCATTTAATCCACATTCAAATCATTCCTATTCTAAATAGTCAACACTGCCTTAACATGTTCATTTCAGAGGTAAATTTATCTAAGTTCGATGGAACTAATTCTTAGGTAAGCATGAATATGATAGTAGGCTTGATTAGGCCTGCAGTTTATTGGCTCCTTATTCCGTAAACATTTCTCAAGGCATAACCAACAGCAGTGAATTCTGCTAAGTGATACTAGATCTGATAATGGCAAGGGATGGCAGCTCCATAGCAGAACACATATTTCACATGCAAAATGCCCCAACTTCAGTCCTGCAAAATACTCCAGTTTGCACCTCCAGACTGGGTTGTAATCCCAAAATGTCACAGCTAATCACAGCTAATCAGAACAGTTCAATCATCAATCCAAACAGAAACTGCAGCCAAGGAACCAGAAGACTGAGATTTGGAAGGGTTGCAGGGAAAGAACTAAAAAAGATAATCTAGAGAATGTCACTAGATTCCGAAGTCAAGATCATCTGCACTGTTGTTTTTTTTATCACTATGTATGTGTGCAAAAGCTGAACAGTGAAGAAAGCTGTTGGGAAAAATGATTTGTTTGAAATGTGGTGCTGAAAGAGAGTTTTGCAGAGACCCTGGGCTGCTGCAAAGACAAACAAGGGGGTCATTGATCAAATCAAGTCTGAATTTCCTCTGGAGGTAAAAAATCTGGGTGCCATACTTTGGACATACAATGAGAAGGCAAGATTTACTAGAAAAGACAAATATACCAGAAAAGGTTGAAGGCAGCAGGAATAGAGGAAGGCCAAATACAAGACTTCCTAAAGGAAGCCACAGCCTTGATTTTACAAGAGCTGAATAGGGCTGTTGAGAACACAGGGTTTTAGAGGTTGCTTATTCATAGCTTCGCCTTAAGTCACAGGTGACTTTACAGTGGGTAACAACAATCAGGATGGGTCAATGCTGTGACCTGCTATAAAGCAGCTTCCTCTACTAGCCTTTAAGGGATTTTACCAAACAGGGACCCAGAAAGCTGCATGTTGGAATGTTTTGAAGGCAGGCTGGTGTATGGACTTTAGGAGTAGAACCATCCTCATGCATCATTAACATATAATATGTATATGATATAGGATCCACCCATTTTAAAAAAATCCCTATTCTATTGTTCATTCAAATGATCTGTTTAAAATTAGTAAAATAAAGAGTAAATTTATATGATGATTTCCTGCTTCTGTGAACACGAATATTTGGGGTTGTGGATTAGTGGCTGAATGCCATTTAGTTACAGATCAGCAATGGTGTAAGTTAAAACTGGTGGCATTCACTCTTTTGTGATTGTCTAAGGGAGAGCAAATGTGGGACTTTGTGGCGCTGCAGGTTAAACCGCAGGAGCCTCTGTGCTGCAAGGTTGGAATACCAACAGTCGTAAGATCGAATCCACATGATGGAGTGAGCGCCCGTCGCTTGTCCCAGCTCCTGCCAACCTAGCAGTTGGAAAGCATGTAAATGCGAGTAGATAAATAGATACCACCACTGTGGGAAGGTAACAGCGTTTTGTGTCTAGTCGCAATGGCCACGTGACCATGGAAATTGCCCTCGGAGAAACGCTGGCTCTATGGCTTGGAGACCGGGATGAGCACCGCCCCCTAGAGTCGGACATGACTGGACTAAATGTTAAGGGGAACCTTTACCTTTACTTAAGGGAGAGCAAAGGCAAAGGGTACTGCCATCCAGACACACAGAATGAAACCCAGTCCTCAATGCCATCTAGAGCATACCCATTGAACCAATTTACGTAGACGTTGATGTAATAATTCTCATTAACTCAATGGATGTACTCCACTTGGAACCAAGAGTTTCAGTTCCTTTTAGCTATGTCTTATTCCCAAATGATTACAAAGCATAAAGTCCCTAGACAGCTCCATGACTATACAAAGTAACATGTAAACTGTACATACCCCATAGATTATACATAACCAAAGTCAGCATAGTCCTTACAAGAAATAACATATTTGAAACTACAATAGATAATAAGCATACAGCCTTATCTATTTGTCCATTTTGTCCGTACGCTAATAACGTTAGTTTCATTAACATTTCAATTGTATTAACAATTGATTTAGGCCTGTAATAATTGCCAATTAAATAATGCCCCCAGTACGAATGCAGACTGTTGATACCAGCAAGGGCAATTGAATGTAATACTGGTTGCAGATATGTGTGTGTGCAGTTCCTTCTTGCTTCATAGAACAGCCTCCCCATTACCTGTTTCCCATGCCTGTTGTCTTACTCTCTGCTCATGTGAATGGGGCTATAGTGCTTTGGAGGCCTGAGCCACTCCTCATGAGGGAGAAATTGGAAATGGACACAGCCACTCCTATCCTTAGACAAAATGTGGTGGCTGCTTCAGGAAGTGAATTTTAAGTTACAGTAAGAGGACAGCAGACTATTTCTTTCCTTTTTCCTTTTTCTTTCCAGAGATGAGAATATGTGCTGATGAGATTTTTCTAGCTCACATACAAGGATGGCTGGTTGTGGGAAGAGCACTCCTTGATTTTGTAATCAATTGGGTAATGTGGTAGGACAAAAGTACAAATGCGAGACTGAGTCTTAAGATGTATAAAAATGTTGACAATGCAGATTTTATTCTAGTAAAAAAAAGCTCAGGCTCAACGCATTTCGGTGGTATCCTTCTTTAGGGGATAAGCATATAATAAAATGTTTCTAAATTAATATATATTTTTATTTTATGCTTAGCTCCTGAAGAAGGCCACCACTGAAATGTATCAAACTTGAGCTGTTCAGATAGGAATAATATCTGCATTGCCAACATTTTTATACATCTGGAGACTCAAGATTCCTGTACTTTTGCCACCAGTGAATGCACCAGTTCCCTCTGCTGTTTACCTATACAACACCTACCGCCCCAAGGCCATTCCCATACTGGAATTCAGCCCAATGCCAGAACAAAGGCTATCCCCCCTCTGAATAATGTGTATATTTAATGGGCTAAACACAGACCTGCTTTTATTTATATTTTCCCACCAGGACTGTGCAATGTGAAGCAGCTCTAACTAATGTCAAATGCAGTGGCCAACATCCAGGTTTTTACACCCTGGTGTTAACACCAGTGGCATAATTTCCAACAGCAAATTGTTTCAAGTTAAGAAGTCAGGATGTCCTATTACGCCCAGAGTCAGGCAACAGGCATGCAGAGAAAAATGCCGAGTCAGAGGTCTTAGATTGTGATATTTTGCTACTGAATGATGTCACACGGATAGGCTTAATGAATACAATTTGGGCCAGTGTCTCTAGGGACCCTGTAGAAGCCAACGTATATGTTTCCGTTCAGTTCAGAAGTATATTTTGTGGCATAGTGGTTAGATTGTTGGTTGAGATTGGCAGGTCAAGTTTCTAGTTCCATTGAGTCATAAAACTCACCGGATAACTTTGCAAGGATAAAGAAAGGGGAAAGGAGAACTTGTATGCCACTCTGTTCTCAAGGGAACAAGGCAGGATATAAACTTTAAAAACAGGTAAATTGTGGGGAGTTCTGAGCCTTGCTCACCAACACAGTAACATCAGAATGTACAGAAAGGACAAACTGTACAAAAAGGATATAAGAAAACAGTGTCTCCTTCTGAAGCCAGCGTAGCTTCAGCACTTCCTGCCATGTCTGACAATAAAATCATGGACTGATGTAGAAACCTTACAATAGATAAAAACCATACATATCTGAAAAGGAAGTGGAATGTTGTCCATCAGAAAACCCCTGCCAGCAGAATATTACTTGAGACGACAATTCCCAAAGTCCTTTGGCCAGCAAAGTCATCTACAAATCATGGCAACAGTTTTTTCATCTTTCTACTTGCAAGTTAGGTGACTTCAGTTTGTGACGACTCATTGGGATGTAACCATGGGCTTCATCTGAAATCTGACTACTCAAATATGAATCAGTACAGTATCAATTTCCTGTGCTATCACCTACTTTGACCTTGAGATAACAGAAATTTCAATTCTTTGAGGAGGTTGAGAATTCCAAGGAATTGTTACAAAACTAGAATTCCCAGAATTCCATAGGACAGGTCATACAAATGAAACCTTTATTTTGACTAAAGGTATGTGAGCAAATTGGGTGTTGTAGAGACATGACTGCTTTTTCTCGTAGTGATTTCCTCCATGTTATCTTTTTCTCATAGTTCTTTTGTCCCAGTGGAGCTCCAAGTGGATTGCCAGAGGTCATTGGTTTCCTCAACGGAACTTCTATTCAGCACATTTTTAACATCAAGAGTTTTGTGGGAACATTTGGCTCCTGTGTTCTAGCTGTGGCATCTGGACTCTTCTGTGGACCAGAAGGTCCCATGATTTACTTGGGGTAAGGAATTATATCCTTAAGTTACATACCGAAAACAGAAATGAAGCCGTTCTTTGTATATGTCCTTTTCCAAAGGGTACAACACTGCATAAAAGGATATAGTGCCACAACTTTACATATGTGTGGTCTGCTTCTGAATTTACAAAAGAAAAATACAGAATAAAAGTTTGCAAAAATAAGAAATTTTACAAAATTATCAGAAAAATACCCTAGTGGGTCCAGCATCTTACATTGTTTCCAGGCCTTTGAAATATACCAAGTCAACTTTCCAATATATTGGTGATAGCTCTTTAAAATGGAGATGAATATATGCGAAGACAGTACTTTTCCATAACTCATTGTAGGTTGGTCTCTAGAAACCTCTTAATCAAGAATAGCAAACTTGGCTCACCAGATGTTTTGAACTACAGCTTCCACAGTTCCTGGCTATGGTTTAGATCAGAATGGGATATGGTAACCTTCAACAGCCATAGTTTCCTCTTCCCTGTGCTTGACTGTCTAACCTAACTTGGCAGAGCTTCAGAAGAATGGAGCATTCTCAGTAATCACACAATGCTGAATCTCTGGCAATTGGCCGGAAGGAAAATTGGGGAGGGAGAGAGAGCTTGGAAGCATGACTTCTAAGACTACAACTTACCCAGTCAGCATAGCCTGGATTCTAAGAACCAGAATCCCATAATATTTTTCCAAGTCCTGTATGGGAAGTGGAATAGAATGGAAGACCCAGGAAAAGAAACGGTTGGTGCAAACCTGAAGAGAACTCCATACAGTTATGGTCCAAGTACTGTATGGGAAGTGGAATAGAATGGAAGGAAATGGTTGGTGTAAACCTGAAGAGAACTCCATACAGTTATGGCCAAAAATATTGGCCAATTCTGTCAGAAAATGCAAGCCTTCTCTCAGAAAATTGTTGCAGTTGCAAATGTTTTGGTACTCACATGTTCATTTCTTTGGTTTGCATTGGAACAACACACACACACACAAAAAACAGAGAAGAAAAATCATATCTGATAAAATCCCACAATTTGTTTTATATCCTGTTTTCATGTTATAAATATATACACAGTTATGTGAGTATAAAACCTCTACTCTGAATCTAAGTTGCACTGTGACATTTTTCTTATTCCTTTCAAGTTTTTAAAATATGTACAGTATATTAAATATAGTATTAATATTTTTCAGAGCAATAATAGGATATGGATTGAGCCTGTTCAAGCCAAAGATTTTTGGGATTAATCTTCCCTCCTTTACCAGATTTTGGAACACAGCCGACAAGTAAGGAAGCTACCATATATTACCTATAAATGGTTATCACATGTGATGCATAAGTAATTATTGTTCTCAAAGGAAATATTAAGAATCTTTACATTAGGTAATATAGTATATGCAAGTAAAAAAAATAGCAGTTATAATAGTGTTTTGCATGCAATGGCTGTCTTGGAGAAAAATTGCATGAACACTTCATTTTCAAAGAAATGGGGATCAAAATGGCAGCTTCCCATTTATAAGCTGGAGACATTTTGGATAATATCCTGTTAAGAGCGTAGGGGAAATCATGTGAGCTCTTCACTGTGTGGCAGACCTGCTGTGCGTCCAGTCATGCAACCAAGTATGCAAATAGCACGAGAATGGGCATGCAGCTGGAACCCTGCCAGAATGGGGGAAAGCCTGATATGATCACCCTTCCGCAGTCTTGTAACACAACCGGATATTGGCTGTTGCTTAGCCAGCAATATTTAGAGATGTATTTCTGAGCCACCAGAATTGCAAATTAAGCCTCTTTTTTACTTTGTCACAACCAGAAATGAAAAAAATCCAGCAAATGTGGAAGTTATTGGGGGGTGGCATGGAGTAAAGCTTACTCTATGACAAATAGACACATTTAATTACTTAATGACTTTCCAGGAATTAACTGCATTGTCTAGTTTGACCCGGAGTTTCCTTATTTCTCAATGCCAGTAGTCCAGACATCTTTCCTTGCAATTCACATCTCTATTGTAGGGGAAATACAGCATTTCAGACAACTGCATAGTGTAATTCTATACATATTTGCTGAAAGGTAAAGAGCAATTGTGTCCAATGAGGTACACGTCTAGGAAGTGTATAAAGGATTCTGGACTGTGTCCGAATTGCATCTAAATGCAACCAACCCACCTATTGACTTGACTTGCCCCATCCCTTTTCAGAGAAGGTTAATTAGGAAGATTGGCTTATGTAACACTTTTGAATACCATCATTCCTAAGTGTATACAGTATTTAAAACTGAAGAAGCCATCATTTCACTTGTGCCACCAAGGTACATACATTGGAGTGATTTCATCATCTTGATGCCAACCTCCTAATAACAGGTTGTTCCTTGACACACTAGTCTTCAGAGAGCACACAAACAGGTAGCACCCAAAGTTGTACAGTATCAATTTAGTAGAATCTACTACGGAGTATATTCCACTGGAACAGCTTTTATAAGCCTAAGGTCCATGTACAATGATGGACAATTTGGGGAGAGATTAAAATATGATAAAGTAAAAATGTTATTTCAGATTCATAGAAGATATTTATGACTCTCATCCTGATTTGTAATTGCATTTCAATATATATTGAAACAGTGGTTGACTTACCCTACAATCTTTTTACTGAACGTGACATCAAGTTGCATCCAACTTAACTGACCCTAATAGTACTTCCAACATATATAAAATAGATAGATAGATAGATAGATAGATAGATAGATAGATAGATAGATAGATAGATAGATAGATAGATAGATAGATAGATAGATAGATAGATAGATAGATAGATAGATAGATAGATAGATAGATATTTAAGGAGTTGTTTTTTCAGTTTTTTCAGTGCCATTTCCTGTTGTGTTTCCATGACTGAGCAGGGATTTGAACCCACATGAGTCTGTGTCTTTCACACTATCCATTATACTACCAGCTCCCACCTACACTGGTGCATGCACAAAATAAAACTTTATGTTCACAATAGTCATATAATTTTAAAGAGCAAAAGTAGCTACATTGGCTATACAACAAATGCCAAACTCCGTACTAGGGCAATATTTTTATTAAGGCAACCACAAAGGTACAAAACAGTGTGCAAGCTTTGGAGATCTTCAGATCTCTTAATCATGTTAGAGAAAAGTAGGTGGGGAGAGAGGCAAAAGGCTGGAGCACTTGATCTTGAAGTAATGGACTCTGAATGTCATCTTAAGATGTAAGGGAGGAAGAAGACTTTGCAGATACTCTAACAGGGCATATCAGATTTTGTTATGGCACACAAATAGTCTGTAGACTTGTGGGGAGCAGGAAAAGTGAAATTCTTTTGTTCTCCATCTTAGAAAGCACAAATATCCACAGTCAACTCAGAGTTATTTCTATCCTATTTGAATGCACAGCCTCCCTTTTAGTTGGCCTAATAAAGGATTTTAAATGAACATTTTCCACTCAAAACGACTCAGTATAATTTGACATGGGGAATCTTACTTTTGTCAAGAATAACCTTTTTTCCAGCATACTTGGATGTGATAAATCAGCAGATCCTGAGGATGGACAGGACTTACAAACACTTTGTCTTTGATTTGTGAAAATATGGTATTTTCAAATCCATTGGGTACACTATATGGTTTTGCTTTGTACTGGTTCTGTTATGCCAATGTTATTGTTCACGTCAAGCATGCCTTTGGAACAGTCTGAAGGCTTGTGTTATATAGTTCTAAAACACTGGATTATAGAAATATGTAAATAAATCTCAGTCTTTGACTATACTTGTTGTAACTCCAAATAAAAAAACTATTACAAGTTATCTATGGCTCAGAGATAACAAGACAGCCTACATAAACATAATACTTTGTCTTTTAACTTAAATCAGCAATTAGAGATATGTATCTTAGGCTGTTACTTTATGGAACAAATTTGCCCTGTGATCAACAGAACAGCTTTCAGAAGTATCTTTGCATATGCAATAAAATCTCTATGGAAACCTAAGACCATTTCATCTAGTTACAGCCAATACATTGGCCCTTCAGTTCCTATCTAGTAACTAGAAAACTTGGGTTGATTCTGGTTTAGAAGAGTAAGATAGTTATGAGGGGGAGGAAATGGCTTCTCCATTAGCCACTTTGTACTCTGATGTGTCATTTGAAATAATATTGGATCCCTGCTTATTCCTGGAACATTTAGATTAAATGTATAGTTGCATAATTTGGCAGTTCCAAACTGTTTTTCTCCTTTGTCCTGTTTTCCCTTTCTGATATTTTCAGTGTTAACACTCATTTGGGGGTTCTGAAATGCCTAAACTGCATGTCCCCTGTAACGTAGGGAGGCCCAGAGGAAGAGAACAAGGAACCAGACTTTCTCAGCACTTGCTTCTTAGCATTGGAATGAGCTACCACCTGAGATCTGTCTGGCCCTCTCTCCAGGGACCTTCAAGAAAACCCTCAAAACCGATTTATTTTGGCAAACCTTTCAAAACATGCTATCTGACTAGCTGTCGAGAGTATCAGCCTACCATTTTTTTGAATGTAATATTAATTTTAATTTTCACTTTGATTATTTTTATATTATTTTATGTTATTGCCACTGTTATAAACCACCCAGAGTGACCTTTAGACAATTGGGCGGTATGGGAATTGAACAAACAAACAAACAAACATACGTGTTATGGCCTTTTTACATTCAAGTCTTGCAACTTTGCTCCTGAGTAGCAGTTTCTATGCTTGAAACCTATGTACTTGTTTGGCTGGTGCAGCAAATACTGTTGTATTGCTGGACTGTTTTATAGTAATAGAACTATGAGGTACATAGAAACATACATCTGAACATGAGTTTGGGTTTTCTTTTGTTTACCCTTTACTTCAGTGAAAAAAGGGGAGCAGTTAAAGATTGCCAGGTGACATGAGCATCAGTTATGTTAAAAGAGTCACATCCATCTGGTATATAGGCCACATTTCACACAGAATGATAAAGCTGGATTCCAGAAGAATCTCAACTATCACTCAAGGGCAAGTGTTCTAGTACAGTGGTGCCTCGCTTAGTGATGTTAATTCGTTCCAAAAAAATCGCTGCTAAGCGATTTCATCACTAAGCGAAACGCAGTTTCCCATTGAAATGCATTGAAAACCGGATAATCCACTCCAATAGGAACGAATTGACCTCCTTAAGCAAAAATCGCCATAGGAAACATCGCTAAGCGAAATGCGGTTCCCCAATTGAAATGCATCTCAATGGGGGAAAAATACAACAATAAATTAAAAAAGAATCAGAACAAAGTCAAATTTGGTTAACAAAGGGTTTATTAAGTGCACTTTATGATTTCAAACATTTTAAACAGTAAACTTTAACTTTATAAATAACAGAAAAACATTTAAAAAACAGCAGACATGAGGCAGGACCTTTAAGTTTATAAACTTTAACTTTATAAATAACATAGAAAAACATTTTAAAAACAGCAAACATGTGGCAGGAACATTGGATCGTACAAAACTCTTCATAAAGTGCAGAAATATGCAGAAACTCTTCAGAAAGTGCAGAAACATACAGAAACATACATAAAATTTTCAGGAACTGCATAAACATACAGAAACCAACAGTACAGAAACTTTTTAGATTTAACATTTTAAGACTGAACAAGTGAGGCTGAAGTGTCTAAACCACCAGGACCAGTGTTCAATGCAGGAACCTGGAGGCACGCAGAACTGTCCCCACATCACAGGCAGCAGCAGTCTTCTAGGAGGACGAGGGGGAGGAAGAAGAAGGCAACTGGGCACCACTGGTGGAAGGAGAAGGTTTCTCTTCCTGTCTTGGCCTCTTCGTGAGGAACCTCTCCATGGTCAGCTGCCTCTGCCTCCTTTTGAGCATCCCTCTGAAAGTGGATATGACCCTTTCATCATAGGTGTTGGAACATTGATGTGCCAAAGCCGTGTCTGGGTGGTGCCACTGCGCTACAATCTGCACAAACTGCTAGCAGTGCAAGAACTTTTTCAGGTCGCTGGTGGACAGATGTTTCTCCTCTGAGTCGTCTTCCTGCCCCTCCATAGAGTGTGCCTGTATCTTGACCAGCTCCTGGGTAGACAGATCCTGGTTATGGCCTTCCACCAGTTCAGTAATGTCCTCCTCTGTGACCTCGAGGCCCATGTTCCTCCCCAAGGCCACAATGTCCTGCATCACTGTGGACTATGGTGCAGGCGCAGAAACACCAGTCACCACACAGTCTGGCCAGAGGTTGCGTCAAGCAGAGTTCAGGTTCCTCTGGCTGATCCCGTCCCAGGCCGTGGCAATCAACTTCAGACAGATGACGGTGTCGAACTCCTCCCTCCAGAAATCACGCAGGGTAAGGCTGGTGGCATCGGGCACCTCAAAGCAGCACCGGAATAGCTCCTTTGTGTACCTTTTCTTAAAGTTGACGATGACCTGCTGATCCATCGGCTGGAGTACTGGGGGGGGGTTAGGCGGCAGGAACATGATCTTGATGAAGTTGAACTCCTTCAACAGGTCGTCCTCAAGGCCTGGAGGATGGGCAGGAGCATTGTCCATCAGGAGCAGGGCCTTCAGTGGCAGGTCGTTGTTCAGCAGGTACCTCTTGACAGCTGGGCCAAAAGTGTGATTGACCCAGTCCACAAAGAGGACGCGTGTGACCCCAGCCTTGGCATTGGATCGCCACATCACCCTCAGCCGGGCTTTGTCCACCTTGTGCTTCTTGAAAGCCCGTGGATTCTCAGAGTGGCACACCAGCAAGGGCTTAATCTTCAGGTCCCCGCTGGCGTTGGCGCAGAAGAGGAGGATGACATGGTCCTTCATGGGCTTGTGGCCCAGCAGCTTGCTCTCCTCTTGTGTCAGGAAGGTCCTTTTGGGCATCCTCTTCCAAAACAGGCCAGTCTCATCACAGTTGAAGACGTTCTCTGGACGGTACCCCTCTGTCATCACTTCCTCCAGGAACTTCACGGCAAAGTCCTCAGCTGCAGTAACAT